CTGTTCTTCCGGGCTTTAAAGGTCTGCCAGCGTAGCCTTCAGATACACTACCAAGACTTCCAAACTGCTAACTAGCAGTTAGCACCGCTTGAATAGTCCGACCTTAATAAATGAAGGCGCATAAAGGCCACGGGTTAGGCAAAACGTTCGTAATTCAGCATTTTATACGGATTTATTGCTCTTGTACAAACCTGCAGTTCTTGTCATCATTATCAATATCACTAATATCATAAATATTGTCATCGCTTTCATCACTAGAATCAACAACAATAATTAGAGAAATGATAAAAATAGCAACAATAATGATGATAACATTAATGATAACAATAATAATGATAATGATAATGAAAATAAAAGTAATGATAATGATGGTAGTAATAATAATAGAAATAACAAAAACAACAATAATAATGACAATAATGATAATAATGATAATAAAGATAATAGTAAGAGCAGTAGTAATAGCCATAATGATAATGGATAATATTAATAAAGATAATGATAATGATAATAACGGTGATAATGATAATGATAAGAAATAACAATGTTTTAATTATAATTTGCGTAATTCTTATTCTTATTCTTAATCCTGTTCTTATTCTTATCCTTATCATTATAACTATTAGCATTACTAATATTATCATGATTATTAATTTTTATTGCTATCATTATCATTATTATTGTTACTATTATTATCATTGTTATTGTTTTAATTAGTTATAATTATTATTTTTATTTTATTTTACTGTTGTTATTATTATTATCGTTGACATCATCATCATTATTGATATTATTATTATTATTACTATTATTATTATTATTACTATTATTATTGTTATTTTTATGGTCATCATTGTTATTATAATTATATTTTTTATCATTTTTGTCATTCTCATAGTCATTGTTGCTTTTGACTATTGCAATTATCATACTTATCATTATTATTTCATTATCATTATAGTTATCATATAGTTATTCATTAGTAGTAGTAGTATTTTCTACTATTATTTTTTATTTTCTTGTCATTGTTATTAATATTATTGTTGTTATTACTATAAATGTTATTACTATCATTATCATCACTACTATTATTATTGCTGTTATCAATAATATTATCTTTATCATTATTGTTACTATTATTATTTTGTTGTTGCTGTTTTTATAATTCTAATCACCAGCATCATCATTATAATAATGAAAATCATTATTATTATCATAATATCATTATCAATGTTATTGTTATCATCATTATTATCATTAATATTATTATTATTGTCATTATTACAATCATTATTATCATTGATATCATCATCGTCGTCATCATTATTATCAAAAACTTTATGATTATCATCATTATAATTTTTATTATCATTATTATAATTTAGCATTACCAATAGTTATTATTATTATAATTATAATCATTATCATGATTATAATTACGATCACTATTATCATCATGATTTTTACTATTATCTTTATTATTGTCATCATTATTATTATCACTATTATCATTACTATTATTACTTTAATTATTGTCGTTATTGTTAATGTTATTATCATTATTATTATCATCAACAACATTATCATTGTTGTTGTTTTTATTGTATCATCATTATTATGATTATAATGATAATGATAATCATTATCATTATCTTTTCTTGACGCATTGGTTATTATCATTACTATCATCTTTTTATTAATTTATCACTTCATCGTTTTTATCTTTATATGATTACTATTACTATCATTATCATTAGCATCAGCATTATCATTATTATCATCCCATCATTATCATTTCCATGTATCATCATTATTATCATAATAATAATAATAATAATAATAATAATAATAATAATAATAATAATAATAATAATAATAATAATAATAATAATAATAATAATAATAATAATAATAATAATAATGATAATAATAATAATAGTAATGATAATAATAATGATAATAATAATAATAATAATAAATAATAATAATAATTATAACGATAATAATGATAATAATAATAATAAAAATTACAGTAATAATAATAATTATAGTAATAATAATGATGATAAATATCATTATTATCATTATCAATATAACTATTACTATCTTCATTACTGTCATTGTTTTTATTGTTATTATTATCATTATTATCATTATCATCATCATTAATGTTATTATTGTTATTAGTACTACTATCATTATTATCATCATTACCTTTATCTTTATCGGTATTACTATTATCATTATCATTGTCATCATTCTTATAATGATCATTGTTATTATCATTATCATAATTTTCATTATTGCTATCACTATTATCATTCTCATCATTATGTTTATAACTATCATGATGGAAATTATTATTATTATAGTTTTTATCATTATGATTATTATAGTCGTAATCATCATTGTGATTATCATTATTTTCATTATTGTTATCATTATTGTTTATTATCATTTTTATTATCATCATTAGTACTTTTGTAATTATTGTTATCATTATTATCATTACTATTATTGCTATTTTCATTATCATCATCATTACAATTATTATTATTATCGTCATCATTGTTATCCATATCATTACTATTATTAACAATATATTGCTGTTGTTATCATGTTTATGATTATGATGATGATTATTATAATGTCATCTATAATATTTTGTTGTCATTATCTTAATTATCATTTTCATAAATTATGCCATTGCCATTGCATTAATGACATCGTTACTATTATTATTACTTTTATCATTGTCGAGATCCATATTAATTCATTTGAAAGGTGCCTTGGCTATACAGGGGCTCCTCGACTTACGACGGGAAGCCGTTCCTACGATGGCGCCGTAACCCGAAATTTGACGCCAGCCATTCACACATGTATTAAAGTCATAATCTAAAACATGACATTTCTATGACGTACATGAAAACATCACTAGGGCTGGAGGAGCACATGGAAGACAAACGAAATACTGTGCATGATTTCTAGCGTCGTATCCACGAAGAGTGGATTCGACGTCATCGGAAGTCGAGACACGTACGTACACCGAGGACCCCGCGCAACAGCAAAAATGCCTAACTGCAATGTTTATTTACGGAAACACATCTTAAAGGAATATCAGCATAGCAAAATTTAGTGTTAGAATTAATAAATTATAATGTTTATCTTTATATGGTTTGTTTGTTTAGATGTCCACAGTTCAATGGAGGAAGTAATAGGCCATTTCATCCTCCCTTTGTCAGTTGGCGTTATTGCTTCATCTCATTGGCTTTGCTCTTTTCATCATTGCTATTGCTATTATCACTTATCACGATTTTCTACATCATCAGTTATTATTACATTGATTATTGTTATTGCTCTCGTCATTATTGTTATTATTATTATTACTGTTATTAGCATTATCATTATTATATTTATCTTTTATCATTATCATTATCATCATCAGTACTATTATTGTTTGTATGCTTATTCATATAATCCTTATCTTTATTATCAAAATTTATATCAATATCAGTATTGTTGTTATTATTGCATATACCATTATTATTGCTATCATTGTTATAATTTTGTATCATTATCGCTATGATTATTATTATCATCATTATCATCGTTATTAACATTATTATTATTGTTATTACTATTATTATAATTCAATTTTTATCGTCATAATTGTCACTATTCTTACCTATATTATCAATATTATCAATAATATTATCATTATCGTCATCATCATTATCATTATCACTTTCATCATCACCATATTAGGATTATTATTGTAATCATTCTTGATCATTACCATCGTCCTAGGCCGAATCCCTGTTAACAGCCAGACCGGCCGTTAGGCTGAGGGCTGGGCGAGCAGCCTCTCCAGAGACTCAGCCTCTCCCCGTTCTATTCTGGGACCTTCGCGGCGCCGTTGCGTTGGATCAGTTGCTTGAGGAGCGAGGGAAACTTTGTTGACGCAGCGCATTGCCAGCCGCTGCTTTCGCGGAGGATTTTTCCTCGCCCTCCAGCGAGAGCCTCGATCATTATTCGGTTTCGGGGATCCTCAGCGGGACGCCTTGGTCTCAAAACTCGACCTCCCTCCGCCAGAAGGCTGGCAGTGCAGGTCCTTCAAAGCCCGAAGTGCTTGCAGATGGCACCAGGCACTTGCCCTTCGGTTCTCGGAAGGGCAAACGGGCGCCCCCAGGAGGGATATAAAAGAGTGCAGAGCCGAAGCCCATGCACACTGCAGCGGGATTCACCGGTGCAAAGTGGCAAGGAGGACCACAAGATGGCGAGGGTTATTGCTGTGCTGTTAATCGGTGAGTTAGATTTACCCGACGCTTTGCTTTTAGAGGAATTGTAAAGAGATAGGGATTAAAGCCACGTTTGTGGTATTGTTCCCTGACGCTATCAAGAATTTCACATACAGTGAAGACTGCGGTAAAGTATATATGTGTTTCTCATGTATTAAAAAAATATTTCTGAATATCTCATTGCCAAAATTATGGCATAATCATTCTCCAAAAAGTCAAAATCCTCGATGTTTGCCCTTAAATCGCCGGCCGAGCAGACAGGTTCGCAGGCGAGCGCAGTCTAAAACCTTTGTTCCTCCCCCAGGCGTGTGCGCCGCGCTGGCTGACCGCCACCTGGAGAACTTCACCCCAGGGCGGCCAATCAACCACGGGCGCCCCGGTGTGTCCACGGGGGGCAGTGTCCCCAGCTTCCAGAGGCCTCAGGTTGACCCCAGGCCATTTGGTCGCTCGAGGCGCTCGCCAGACTCGCCCCGCCCTCCGCCCGGCCTCCTGACCCGTCCCGTCCCCGCCCCGCCCGGGACGCTCCCGGACTCCCCGCGCCCTCCTCCAGCCCATCTGACCCGTCCCGTCTCCCGCCCACAGCGATCCCCTAACTCTCCCGTGCCCCCAGGGCACCAAACCCGCCCCCAGACCCAGCCTACTCCACCTCCAGGGCGTGAGACCCGCCCCCAGGTCCTGCCCGCTCACCTGACCAAGCCCGCC